GCGTAAAACCAAACTCAGTCAGTCAGTCAGTCAGTCAGTCAGTGTTGCTATAAGAATCCGGGTTACAACTGGTCATGGCAACCAATGGTTTTCATAAGAGGAGACTAACGGGATCGGGGGGTCAGACTTGCTGGTTGATGAGTGTTATTGTTTTCCAGTTGCGTAGATCGATGTTCATGATGACAATCAAAAGATTGTCTGGCCAGACTCGACTCGATTATTTACAAACCGCCGTGATATAAATTTAGTTGGAACATTGCTGAGTGTGGAGTTAAACAACAATCAAACAACCTGTAGAATCGAAACGAACTGAATCCGAAGTGTTAGTTCTAAGCGACCACCATGATCAGGTACCAAGTTCAATAGTGCCCGTGACATGATGCGACAAGAAGGGTGATTGGGCGTCTTCAGTGACAGCGTTGGAACTCACCACCAAGAACTACCGCTTCCCACTGTTCGTCGCTTTCAAGACGCTGTCCATTGTTACCTCCCTTGGGTACACTAGGAACGTATGAATATGGCGGTCCAACTCCAGTTCGCCGCAATCACATTTCTAGGTTTGTCAACACCACACCCTGGTTCGTGTGTGTTCACCAAATTTGTGAGTGAGTGAATTTAAGTTTTACGCCGCTTTTAGCAATATTCCAGCAATATCACGTCAGGGACATCAGAAACCACATTGTACCCATGTGGGGAATCGAACCCGGGTCTTCGACGTGACGAGCCAACGCTTTAAGCACTAGGTTACCCCACCGCCCCTGAGGTAACTGAAATACTGTTGAAAGAGGTGTTAAAACTCAATACACTCACACTGACTAAATCACTGTTGTAGCGACTTTAAGATAATGACATAAACGGCCCCCTCAATCCTCTGTTCTGCACACCAGATATTGGCTTGCTTGGCACGATCCTTAATTGACCACGAAACTGCTAGCGGTAGGACCTCCTCGCTGAACGTATTTGTAATGACATTACATAACCTTGACAGTTGGCAGAACTGTCGTTAATTGGAGCAATCATTGTGCTAACACGAGTCCAAATTTACTTTAACTCAAACTATGCAATCATTAAGAGTGCGCGGCTGGTCGTCTGGGTTTCTTTCTCACTGACATTCCGTCACGTCTGCTCGCGAAGAGAGGGGGCGCTCACTTTGACGGCCGTCGGAACTGGGTTAGACGATCGCTCCTATAAAACATAATTCTATTTAATGTGGGCTTGGACAAATTGAGATACAATATTTTGATAAGGAGTTTCTTAAACAAGGGGCATGTGGACTTGAGTCTCAGAGCGGAGTAGGTATTACGTCGTAACCCCTGTGTGGTTTAAAATATGCGTTTTTATATGCTTTATTAGCTCAGGTGCGTCTCTGGAGTCAGATGTAGCTATAGACTGTTGCAAATCTGTATTTAGAAATCTAGAGCTTTCTTTTTGTCATAAATGTGACTATAGTGTTTCTTGTTCTGGACATTATAGTTTCTTTGAGTGGCATTTTTAAAATCTGGAGAGACAGAAGAGGACAAACGTTAGGGACGAACAACTTCTTTATTCAGGTGAATCGACGTTTCGATACAGTGTCTTGTATCAATACAGATACCTGCTTGAAAACGATACAAGAATCTGTATCGAAATGTCGCATCACCTGAATAACGACGTTGTTCATCCATAAAGTTTGTCCTTATCTAGATATTATAGGATGGACAGTTTCAGATGGAGCAGTCGATGATCTGGCAGTTTTAGTGTTCTTCTGTGTAGTGACAACCCAGGATCCCTCAACCTCCTCAAACTTGACCAGTCACTCTCATCTCCACACACCGCACCGCAACACAACACAACACAACACAACGCACCACACCACAAGGAACTCTACCGGCGGGGTATAAACCTGTAATGACCGGGGTTCCTGAGAGCATGGCGTGAATGAGTGTGGTTTTACGCCGCTTTTAGCAACATTCCAGCAGGGCGGGGGACACCAGGAATGGACTTCACACATTGTACCCATGTAGGGAATCGAACCCAGGTCTTCGACCTGCAGCTGACGAGCGGACGCTTCAACCATTAGGCTACCCCACCACCCCCAGAGAGCAAGGAGGCGGCCCATCAACCGTTGGGGTCGACTCGATCCAGGTGTTCACGGTACGAGTCTACACAACGCTAATGAGGATTTAGAATATTGCTGTCAATGCTTGTCCTTCAGAGTCCCAAGTTTTTTTGTTTGTTTGTGTGTTTTTTCTTTCTTTCTTTTCTTTGTTAGCGCCGCACTCAGCAATCTTCCAGATATATGACGGAGGTCTGTAACCAACCAGTCCAGTGATTGACAGCATGAGCATCGATCTACGCACTTGGGATACAATGACATGTGTCAATCCCGTTAGTCGCCTGTTACGACAAGCATGGGCTCCTGAAGACCAAGTATTCAACGTACATATTCTCAGCACAGAGGACATGACACAACAGCAATATTGTCCTATTTTACTCTCTTTGCATATGTTTCTTAATGAAAATGTTATCCATCTTAAATGTGCTTATTGTCGAATCAACACAATCCCCATCATCAATACTGTTATTTCGAAAATGCGTGGCAAAAGAATGGCGCTGGTCATTTTCCAGAATTGCTATAGCACATCAATGACCTTTGTGACGCGGAGAGTCACCTTGCAGCACCATGGCGCCGCGAACAGTCCATATCCACGGTGACTTACACCCAGAAGTGAAACCAATGAGTTAAAAATATCTACTTTACAGCGTTGAGCTAAACGTGTAGAAATGTACTCAGAAATCAAAGCATTAACAAAGGATTAGAGCGTTCCTTTTCCTGCAAACGGTGTTCGCCCGACGTGAAGTCATCATTAAGTCGGCGCACATGCGGGCGTGGGTTGGTTGGTTGTTTAACGCCACACTCAGCAATATTCCAGCCATATGGAGGTGGTCTGTAAATAATCGAGTCTGGACCAGACAATCCAGTGATCAACATCATGAGTATCTATCTACCCAATTGGGATACGATGACATGTTCAAACATGTCAGCGAGCCTAACCACCCGAGATCACGTTAGTCACCTCTTACGACAAGCATGAATTCCGAAGACTAATTCTAACCCGGATCTTCACGGGTCTGCGAGCGTGGGACCTAATATCTGCATGTGTAGGCCTATAGTGTAAATTACATATTGGTCTTTTGAATCCCAAACATCATCATTCTGGATTGATGTTGCAGATAGCCCAAGTGTATTTGTGCTGTGACCCGCACCCTCTACTCACGTCATGTTTCCTTGTCTTGAATGTGCAGAGTTGCGTCCCTTGATCATACCATGTTGCCATGTATTGTGTGTGCAGAGTTGCGTCCCTTGATCATACCATGTTGCCATGTTTGTCTATGCAGAGTTGCGTCCCTTAGTTATTCCATGTTACATCGTCTCACATGGCAGTCATTTCACGGACCTAGAAGACGATATTTAATCCGTGGTCCTGACATCCTCGAATTTAAGGTGTATTATATCATCATTCAGTTATAACAAATATGAATTAGTTTCGTTGAATCGAATCCTCTAATCAGCATCCACCTTGCATTACACTCGGTCTGACACCATTCGGGATCTTGTCAACAACAACTAGGAGTCAAGGGCTTCCTCCCACAATAACTTGGCATGCATGTCGTGGTATAGTTGATATATAACTGAGGCGACGGTTTGTTTGTTCACAGTGAAAAGACTATTTATTGTGGTATTCCAACGCTAAGAGTAAAGTAGGGTCGGGTATGTATGTTTTACAACTCTAACCATATTGTGAGAGATACTCCAGTTTGGGCCGCAAAGTATCCAATGATATACACTGCGTATATAATACAGAGATGGACGAGCACTCGTGACAACGCCATCTCGTGGCACTCGGCAGTAAGAGGTGAAGAAGTCACTAATAAAACAGGAAGCCATTGGCAGTTACGACTTAACGACATCTTTAAGTTGCGCCACTGCCAAATTCCAGCACCAGATCAAACATGGCGGACGACATGCGGTATCACGGCGGTGCGGACGGCGAACGTCCTGGATGCCAATGTTTGGACGTCCTACATCACAGGCTGGAGATAATACCCAGGACGACTGGCAGTTAGGAGATCTCCAGGAGACATCTGTACACACGACTTTGTCGTGCTATTGTTAATCTTTTAATGCAGGATGATGTGCAACGGCAGCCATGAATTATGGCAAGGGGACTCAACAGAGGTTCGAATGAAAATATTCTGTCGTGATTGTTGGCTTAGCAACTTTAGCTGCTCCTGGATTAGGAAGAAGCGGCTGTGTAAGAGTTTGAGCTGGTATCAAAATGACGTCTTCCAACATTTTAAATCAAAGAGCGGCCTGGGTAGATGTTAAGGAACAAGATTAGTCCTGCGCGGATCTATTACTTGCACAGACACGCGGTGAAAAAACAACCAACAGTCATGGTAACTGAATACACAAATAGATATTAAAAACATCAGGACTTGATGTAATTGAATTAGCATGAGTTAGTTCAAATAGCTTTGTAGATGTTGAGTTGTTAATGAAGTGTGTGTTTTAAGCAGTATTTAAGTTGTATCGGTATCAACTGTAGTCACATTTCAGATATGTCACGGCTGTTTCAATGTTTCAGCTGTTTATGGAATCCTAGAAAGGACATTATCGCGTTGTCGCATTGTTGCATTGTCGCGCATTTTAAGGCTTTTTTACAGATCTTAGATGGGGCGACAACGCATCATATTTTGACCTTGAAAACTGTCGCTATGTCGCATAGTCGCCCTTTGGATGATTACAAAAATGTTATTCGAAACGCGACATAGCGACAAATGGCCGATATGTCCCGTTGTCGCGCTTTGGTTAATTTTGCCTCTTTTTGCTTGTTTTTGAGTGGGCGACAAGCGACAATGCGACAACGCGACAATGTCCCATCTAGGATTCCATATATATCAGTTTCAGCTGTAGCAACATTTGAGTTCTATCAGTATTAGCAGAACAGAATGCTGTACATTTCCGAGGATGTTACTTTCACATCCGTGGATAATATCTTCATCTTTATGTGAAATGGATATATTTGTATTCACATAGTAGCAGTGTAACATCTCGCTTTATATATGTACTTATGTATCGGATATGTAACATCTGTCCCTATGCTAATAAAAAAAAAAAGTATTAGCAGAATCAATATTTGTGTTACATCTATAAACGACTAGTGCCGTTCCACCGTTCATTTTGTGTTTGTTTGTTGTTTAATGTCGCACTCAGAAGGTGTCGAGCTATATCACGGTGGTCTGTAAATAACAAAATCTGGGCCAGACAGTCCAATGGCTGACATGAGCTCTGATCTACGCAGTTGGAACACGATGACACGCATCAACGAAGTGACCGAGCCTGACCCCTGACTCTTGGTAGTTGCCCATTACAATTTTTTAACAAGCATGGGTTGCTGAAGACCAATGCTAACCCTGCTCTGGTACTGTCACACAAACCCTGAAACAAATATACTCAATACAGACCCTGAAACAAATATACTCAATACAGCACATGCAAGTCTAGAATATGTGGCAAGTCTTGACTCACAATTTCAGGATTTCTTAAAATGAAGAGAGTCCCTGGCTCCTATTTATTATGTTTATGAATAAAATCTTTTCTGGAAACTATGTTCATTTCAGAACTAGACGTCAGTCTTCACGCGTCCATCCTTGATGGTCACAGCCTAAACCCAACGCATCGTACCTTCAAAGACTACCAGCATTACCAGACACTCGTTATTTCGATGTTACTACATTAAGGTCAGTTTATGTCTTGATGTGAAAGATTACCCATTACAGTACAGCATACGTTATATTGCAGAATAAATGTCCCGTCAAAGTTCAAGTGTTAATGTCCACATCGGCTCCTTCTGTCACAGCTATTAGTCACTTTTAATGCATTAAGGAAATATCCTGTTTGGACTTTGACCCCATAAACATGCAGTAAACGTATGGTATTAACACAGGTAAACACATCAATTATTGCCACCAATTATACCTATGCCTTTTGAGATAGTTTAATAGTGTTTGTTAGATTCTTTATATTAACGCAGATAAGATTCAGATCTTATCCGTTGAGTCATCCATCCTAAGCGTTTTATGTTTGTTTGTTTGGTTGGTTGGTGAGTGAGTGAGTGAGTTAAGTTTTACGCCGCACTCAGCAATATTCCAGCTATATGGCGCGGTCTGCAAATAATCGAGTCTGGACCAGACAATCCAGTGATCAACAGCATGAGCATCGATCTTTGCAATTGGGAACCGATGACATGTGTTAACCAAGTCAGCGAGTCTGACCACCCGATCCCGTTAGTCGCCTCTTACGACAAGCATGGGTTACTGAAGGTACATTCTAACCCGGACCTTCACGGGTGTTTAGTTGGTTGGATTGTTGGATTGTTGGATGGTTGGATGACTGTTTGTTTAAGCCACCATACTTCCAATAGTCTATGTATGAGCTAATCGAGTCTGGATCAGGTAATCCAGTGACTGACATCATGAGCACCGGTCTGCACAATTGGGGTCGATGACATGGAATCAGTAATGTCACTGAGACGGACCAGCCAGTCCATGTCGTCGCCTGACTGTTGGAGGCCAATGTTCTTACATTCTTCTTGAATCGTAAACATACTGTCACAATTAACATTCTAATCACAGATAATTATCATTTTATAAATCTGAATAAAGGAAACAATAAGTTTGATTTGTATACAAAAATACGTAATCTAGTAATTTGATGAATGAGTAAGTATGTTTTACGAACTTTTAGCAATATTCCATCAATATCACGGCGAGGACGCTAGAAATTACACACTGCTCCCATCTGGTGAATCGAACCTGGATCTTTGGCGTAACGAGCGAACGCTGTAACCACTTGGCTACCCAGCTCCCCTACTAATTTTGTTGTTGTAAATAAAATACTTTAGATAAACTAACGACAGACCATAAAAGCACAGGGTGCTAAAGGTCAGATTCAGATTATCGTCAATCATACACACCCGCAGGCTACAGTCTGATCGAACTGTGCACACGCCGTTGAAACTACAAGGTGGATAAGTCGTCCGCAAGTGATTGGCATCAGAATGACTTGTAATTATGAACAAACGTGGCGCCATGACATCAGACATGCCTGTCAGACTGGCATCACGCCATACCATTTGTTTGGAAGCCACCAGAGCTGCCGGCGGTATACTACAGCGCAACACAGCGGTATACTACAGCACAACACAGCGGTATACTACACAGCACAGCGGTAACACAGCCTACATGGTGATGTCTTAGTGATGGTATGATCTGTCATCACGTACAGGTGAACGACCCTTGAAGATCCGGGTTAGGATTGATCTTCAGTAACCCATGCTTGTCGTAAGAGGTGACTCTGGTGGTCAGGGTCGCTGACTTGGTTGACACATGTCATCGTTTCCTAACTGCATATAGATTGATGCTCATGAGATTCATCACTGGATCCGTCTGGTTCAGACTCGAATAAGTGATGCATTACAGGGGCGTAGGAACGGTTTTCAGAGGGGGGGGGGGAGGCTAATTTATTAAAAGTATTGAAAATCAAAATGAAATTGTAGTTATTGTAAGGTAGATATGGTTTCGTCTTGAAACACACACACACACACACACACACCCTGCATTAGCTTACAAGAGCAGTACGCCTCTACGTTGCAGAAAGAAAGACGTAATGGTTGCATTCTTAACTGCAGTAAAAGATTCATGTATTAGTGATGCATACTTTCGATCCGTAAACATAGATAAATACTAAATAGACATACTAGGCCAGGAGCCAGGAGCTGATAATGATTATTGGTACCACTCAGAGGGACCATAAGTTTTAGTGTTTTTTATATTCCTTTATGTCTCTATATATCAAAAATGTATGATGGCCATGCCAATTTGGTAGCTCAAACTCAGAACGAGGCTAAATCCAAGATGGCCGCCAAAAAAACCCAACAGTTTCTAAAAATGTCAATTTCAAGGTTTTATCATAAGAAACGTTCAGCAAATAGGTTGGAAATGTAAAACAGGATTGTGGTGCTAATGTGATTAAAAGTATTTAATTAATATCAAGTTTTATTTAACTGATACCTTTAAATCATACTTTTCCTGATTTTAAGAGTCGAAATTGTAAAGCCGCATTTTCGAAAACTCATCATTTCATTTATTCTGAAGACAGCTCTTTAACTTCAAATAGTGAGAGCACCTTTAAGTTCCTTAAAGTGGTTTGTGATAGTCACTGTTCAGCATCATAAACGTCAGCATTGACGCTTCGGCATGTCATGTTCCTCGCATACCATGTTGTCACAAGTCTGGTTCATCACGATGAATTTCAGTCCATTGGTAAAGGGGACAACTTGGCAGTTTACAGACTGTTGTGTACTTGCAAGAATTGAACTCAAGACAATGATAACTCCATCAGGACTACATGCATACACTGTGCCCCTCGTATAACATACAGTGTATGCATGTAGTCTGAAGGGTCTTGCAAACGCTTTGACCAAACGCCGCAGCAACTTTCTTGATATCAATGATCCTTTACTGATTTTGAACAATGAACTGGATGATATTGGTTTTGCTTTCTGATGAAGTAAGACGCCGCCTCCACTGTCGTATCTTGTGTCCTGAACAACGCTACAGTAGACTAGGTATTCACATGCCACCTGTACGCCTCAAATTCTTAAATATGGGATGTCAATCAATTGCGCTTTACCACCTTTTTTAAGGTTAGAAAGGGCAATTGAATCAGGACAATTTGCCACGTTGCTTTGATTGTCTGTCTATGCACATCCTGAGAGCAAACTATCAAGCTGCAATATGGAACAACTGTCTGGGAGGTGAATATCCAACTTCATGGGCACCAGATCGTCATGGATGGGTGGAAACAAAATGGTCACATGAGATTTGCTGGATGTCAAGACCTCTTTGCTCCAGATGTTGTTCTTGAGTTCATTTCTTGCAAGTACACAACAGTTTGTAAACTGCCAAGTTGTCAATGCCTGACACTGAAATGCATGACATTTGAACCAGCTGACGTTTATGCTGCGGACCATACCAGCCGAAGATGACACTGATGATGAAGCTGACGTTTATGCTGCGGAACAGTGACTATCACAAAGGAACTTGAAGGTGCTCTCACTATTTGAAGTTAAAGAGCTGTCTTCAGAATAAATGAAATTATGAGTTTTCGAAAATGTTTTTTGAGCTTACAATTTCGACTCTTAAAAATCAGGAAAAAATATGATTTAAAGGTATCAAATAACACAACTTAATTGATATTAATTAAATCCTTTTTATCATGTTAGCATTATTTGTACCTCCCTATTTTCATTTCCAACCTATTTGCTAAACTTTATTCACAATTAAAGCTTGGAATTGACGTTTTTTGAAAATGTTGGGGGTTTTCGGCGGCCATCTTGGATTTAGCCTCGTTCTGAGTTTGAGCTACCAAACCGACATGGCCATCATACTTTTTTTATATGTAGAGACCATAACAATTTAAAAAAACATAAAAGTGTTTGGTCCCTCTGAGTGGTACCGAAAAATTGTCTGGCTCATGGCCTATACAGGTAGCGAGCTGAAAATCCTATATTTGAGTAATTGCACACGGCGTTGTTATACTATTGTCTTTTTGTCATGCGTATGTGCAGCAGCTCAAAATTAATTGGTTAATGGTAGAGCTGCTTAATATAACCGGTTTACCGGTTCAGACCTGAAGGGGCGGTGGGGTAGCCTAATGGTTAAAGCGTTGGCTCGTCATAGACCGGTTTTACATGGGTACAATGTGTGAAGCCCATTTCTGGTGACCCCCGCCGTGATGTTGCTGGAATATTGCTAAAAGCGGCGTAAAACCAAACTCAGTCAGTCAGACATGAAAACGCATTGCAATACGCTGATCGAAAACCGGTATTTTGACTTGCATTCGGACAACTTCGTAACACTCGGAAGTCTTCGGATATTTCCTTGCTTCATTTGTGCCAAATATTATTATCATTTTTATTTTGTCATGTTTAAAGCTTTTTAAAGTTTTTATTAAAGCTTAATCAAGCATATTGATTTTGTTGTGTTCATGCTTTAAAAATCAAGCATTAACTCGATTATAAGGAGTTTTTTTGGTTTAAAAATACTTCTTGCAATATATTGCAATATATATCGCAATATATGCTTTCGCATCGCAATATATCGCAATATGAAAATTTTCTGCAATACCCACCCCTAGTTAATGGTGACTTGTTCGTGTATTGCGCAGATCTGTATGTTTGAGTGAATGTCGCATTCTGTCCCTTGCAGTGAATGACAGGAACGAAAGGTAATTTCGTAATCGTATGTGTGGTTATATTAATCAGATAAATGGACGAATTCGACACGTGTTGTGATATCTGGGGTAAAAACTTATTCTGACGTGTTTTCTTACAATTATGTTCTTTGTTGAAATTCCATTCAAAACGATTCTAAAATATAAGCGATTTAAGTTTCCGTTTAGTTTCCAGACTCAACTAGCCACCTTCACACCCAGGGCGGTTGTACCAGAGACCTGGTTGTACTGAGCTTCGAACAAAAATCAAATATTTATCAACATTTTGCAGATTTAAGTGTTTTGGAGGTGAAAGTATGAATCGGTATATTTTCGGAAAGGGAAGTTTAACAAATATACACAATATCGATTCCAGCAGTGCATGGGAACGAGGTGTAGGGACGTGACGGAATGGAGAAAGTCAGTGAATATTGGAAAAGATCGAACACTGCTCCACCTTATGGAGGCGGTTATGTAGGGCAGTGGGTGATGTGTTTGCTTGTCGTGGGAACAATCAATGTCTGAAGCCTGCAAATCTCGCTCTCCCTCTCTCATTTTATTTGACCCTAAGTTCCAACATTTCCCGCGTACTCTCTTTGTCTCTGTCTCTCATCTTATCCACTAGAAGTAAAATTTCACATATCTCTCGCGTTTTATTTCTGTATTCTCTTTCTCTCATTTTATTTGGCCTTAAGTTTCCATATTCCCCGCGTTCTCGCTTTGTCTCTTCTTTCATCTTATCCACTTGAAGTTATATTTCACATATATCTCCCGTTTTAATTCTGACGTCTCTCTCTCTCATTTTATTTGGCCTTAAGTTCCCCATATTTCGCACAACCTCCCATCTTATCTCATGAAGTTGTCTGTTTGTCATCTTATCCACGTGAAGTTATATTCCACATTATATCTCTCTCTCTCTCTCTCTCTCTCTCTCTCTCTCTCTCTCTCTCTCTCTCTCTCTCTCTCTCTCTCTCTCTCTCTCTCTCTCTCTCTCTCTCTCTCTCTCTCTCTCTCTCTCTCTTCACTAATATCCTCTGAGCAGTGATATTAGGAATTTGACGTTACTCTATTAAATAAGTCAAGCAGCGGTCCAACTAGGTACGCCCTGGCAGGATATCCTAAAAAATGAAATAATATCATATGCAAATTTAATCAATGACGCCAGTGGTATTTCTACACTGTGACTTTCATTGCATTATATTCTATACACAATAACTGCCCGGGTCCTTTAACGCCCAATTTATGGCACATTGCTAAAATATTGATCTTCTATGATCAATATAGCGAGACATAAAGTCATTTGTGGCAGTCACGTACAAGGGAGTTGAAAGTAAATGGGTTAATAATTGATTTTAAAAATGTCTAAATCCCCCTGTACCTGTTTTAAGGTCCATGGTAAGGAAACATGGGGAGCATTACCGTGTGACTCAGTCGGGTCGGGTAACGGAGAAGAGTGTTTTATACGTGGTCAATTCAGCTTCGACGCGCTCAGTCTTACCTGTAGTGTCACCCCGATCCTGGCGCACTGAGCGCTTCATGGTCTATAGTCTGTTTCAATAAATTTGCCCCCCTTGCACTTTACCGTGCGCGAACATTCTATTGCTTTGTACACACTTAAACGTACTCTCACCGTGGCTGTGATCAACGGTCCAGTACTCAATATATGTGTTAGGGCAGATAGGAATTTCTAGATTGGTATCATCATAGACTTTGAGTTAACGAGCAAGTAGGTTGAGTTTATGACTTGAGTCAAACTTATGAGGACTGACAATTGCCCGCGGTCTCGTCAACTGTTACTTTAAGTACTGAAAATAAATAACCTCAACAAGTTAAACATGTTGATGTATACAAACTGTGTCTAATCTTTCCAGTTTAGGAAAAATCAATGTTTTTATCATTTTAAGGTGAATTGGATTAAGTGGTGCTAAATATTTATCCCGTATTATTCTGTTAAAATGTTAGAATATATTTTAGTTCCTTTATCGTCAAGCTGTGTATGCTAGTCAAACTGGAAGATAAAGAACCTCCGATTACTTTCCTATTACTAAACTTACTATGACATACCATAACAGATTAACGTCAACAATACTAATGAATCGGGTGCGACTTAAGTTTTGAGTAGGACTGACTGACTGAGTTTGGTTTTACGCCGCTTTTAGCAATATTTCAGCAACATCACGGTGGGAGACACCAGAAATGGGCTTCAAACATTGTACCCATGTGGGGATTCGAACCCGGGTCTTCGGCGTGACGAGCCAACGCTTTAACCATTAGGCTACCCCACCGCCCCTTTGAGTAGGATATATGTGTCTTGACAAGGTGGTCTACGGAAAGAATGTATTAGCAGGGCCGTATAAGGACTGTGATTGATATAGGACTAGGTGAGGTGAAATTGGGTTTAACGTCGTGCTTGAGAATATTTCACTGATATGACGACGTGCATGCGTGTGTATGTGTATGTGCGGCTGCTTGTACTAGCCCAGACTTAAGCTGGTTTTATAGTGCTAGCTCACTGAGATACCATGCCGCAGTGAAGCATGAATACCCCACTCAGACACAGTATACTGACTCCGAGCCGACCAGTCCTTGTTGTACCCATTAATGCCGAGCGCCAGGCAGGGTGATATAGGACTAAGGGAATATTAAGTTGCATAAGTGTGGATTCCAGGTTTGAATTTGTCCCCAGCAAACCTCTGTACGTGGCGACTTAATGTATGGTGGTCAGTTATGGTGGCTTAGTTGAGTGTCACAACGTACAGAGTTGTGTGGATAGTGGTTACAATTTGCAACCATTGGTTTAACTTCTTTGAGAGGCATTTTTAGAAGTTTGAGAGTAAGATAAGGACAAACTTCATGGATGAACAGCTTCTTTTTTCGGGTGATGCGACGTTTCGATACAGATTCTTGTATGGATACTACCCGTGAAGGTCCGGGTTAGAATGAGCCTTCAGTAACCCATACTTGTCGTAAGAGGCGGGGCAGTGGGGTAGCCTAGTGGTTAAAGCGTTGGCTCGTCACGCCGAAGACCCGGGTTCGATTCCCCACATGGGCACAATGTGTTAAGCCCATTTCTGGTGTCCCCCGCCGTGATATTGCTAGAATATTGCTAAAAGTGGCGTAAAACTAAACTCAGTCAGTCAGTCGTAAGAGGCGACTAATTAAAACGGGATCGGGTGGTCAGGTTCGCTGACTTGGTTGACACATGTCATCGTATCCCTGTTGCAAAGATCGATGCTCATGCTGCTGATCACTGGATTGTCTGGTCCAGACTCGATTATTTACAGACCGCGGTCATAGAGCTGGAATATTGCTTAGTGCGGCGTAAAACTAAACTCACTCACTCACTAATTGTATGGATACAGATACCTGCTGGGCAACGATACAAGAATCTGTATCGAAACGTCGCATCACCTGAATAAAGAAGATGTTCATCCATATAGTATGTCCTTATCTAACCACTGGTTTGTCTGTTTAAAACTCGATAATTTTCAAAACTCCATCTTGTTCCAGCTGGGTGCAGCGTCACACGAAATAAATAAACAACAGCGGTACATTGTATCACACTAAGGAAATGTGTGTAATATACATCCGTGCATAAAATAAGCACCACCCTGTATTTTTACCAATTAATTTTGTCTGAAATTAAATTCTAAACTCTTTCCAAAAAAATAACCTTTGTAATTTGATAGAGCAAGCATTTAACATTTCAAAAACGAAAACATCATTGAAATTACCATTACTTTAATTAAGATAATTGCCTACATTTAAAACAGGTGTTTTTCTGTCCTAAAACAAGTTACCTTATTTTGAAAAGTGAAAGTAATAATTGATTGTTATGTCGCCTATAAATTTGTTATTTATTGTGAATCGATGAAAGTTTGTAAACTAAACTAAAAGTAAAATTTTAAAATGCTGTAAAAGTTGCTTTACAAACAAAACAAACAGATTTTAGCTGTAATTATCAGCACCCGGCAAGGAGAAGAGTTTATTCAATACAGTAAACTCAAAATCCTAAAAGATTTATTCCAAAATCTTATGAATGTGGCCTTTTTCAGTTTTTGTCAATTAGCAATCTGAATTGTTGGAAAAAGGTCTGAATCTTTGACATTCGGGTTCTTCCTGATTATGCATAATTAAAGCTTACTTGATGTGTAAATGTCATCTTCGTATATAACAGAATTGTTATTTTTAGTCAAAACCTAATTTAATTGTGTAGTTTGAGCAGGGGAGGAATAGTTATTTTGGGTAAAATTTCAGTCCCATCACGTTTTCATCAACAAATTCTTTCATAAAGAATAGAAAAGGTTATTGTATTTGTAAAACTGTCAATGGATAAAGCCTCTTTAACTACAGGTTGATTAAATTGTTGGCTATACCCTAACCTTTCTGTAGCATCACATCTTATTTTCAAAATAGGGTGGTGCTCAATTAATGCACGTGTGTAGTTATAGAACTGATCAAATGAAAAACAATAAATAAACACTTTGAACGGCTATTAAAAACCCAAAACGATGCATACACAAAATGAGAAGGATAGTTTATATGCCCTGTTCTATAAATGCAAGGTGCTCTTTGGAGTCGAACCATTCACCTAATTAGATTCACTCACTCCAATTTGTTTGCTTTCTTTTTTTTTAGTAGAGGTAGAAATCTGTCACCGACGAGTTCGAATCCAAGATTTGATCTGATAATGTTTCAGCGTCTGTCAGTATCATACCCGTTCTCCTGGGTTTCATTTAAAGGGGAAATATTTAAGGCCTGCATCACTGCAGGATCTCCTCGGTGAAAGTGACACGTTGTGACATACAGACCCGTGCCAGTTATATTCGGACACTTGACGTAATGTCCATAGACTTACATGTTATTTCAGTGTAGCATAAATAATTTTCATGAAGTGAGTTTACGATGGATAAATGTAAAATTTGACAGGCAAATTTGAAATCATCTCTGCTCTGCGCACATAATTTCAGTTCAATTCTCCGACCAATATTTAACTAATGATATCACGTATAAGACAGAATGTTATGGATGTCAACTTCTTCTTCATTGTATACACAACGTTTCTGGGCTATTAATGATATCACTGGTTCTGGGCTATTAATGACATCACTGGTTCTGGGCTATTAAGGACATCACTGGTTCTGGGCTATTAATGATATCACTGGTTCTGGGCTATTAATGATATCACTGGTTCTGGGCTATTAATGATATCACATTGATCAACTTACGTATGGTTCCACAATGCTCAATCCCATAGGCCGCCATGTTAAAGGAGTTCACGGCACTGTACATATGTTGATTAAATTGTTGCCATTCCATCAATAAGCAACGGAAAATTAAAAAAAAATTATGTGATTGTAGGTAAGATGATTCCTCACAAGTGTGTAAAATTTGTCTTGGATCTTACGAAAATGAAATTCATGAAAACTATTTATGCTTCACTAAATTAACATGTAAGTCTATGGACATTACGTCAAGTGTCCGAATATAACTGGCACGGGTCTGTAACTGGAATATTGATCAATAAAACCAAACTCGCTCCTCTTCAACCGTAGCACGGGGCAGTGGGGTAGCCTAGTGTTTAAAGCGTTCGCTCGTCACGTCGAAGACCCGGGTTCGATTCCCCACATGGGTACAATGTGTGGTGGTGGTGGAATTGGGTTTAACGTCGTGCTTGAGAATATTTCACTGATATGACGACGTGCATGCGTGTGTATGTGTATGTGCGGCTGCTTGTACTAGCCCAGACTGAAGCTGGTTTTATAGTGCTAGCCCACTGAGATACCATGCCGCAGTGAAGCATGAATACCCCACTCAGACACATTATACTGACTCCGAGCCGACCAGTCCTTGATGTACCCATTAATGCCGAGCGCCAGGCAGGGACCAACAAGTACCATATTTTAACGTCTTTTGGTATGACGCAGTCGGGGATCGAACCCGCGACCTTCCGCACTCCGGGCGGATGCTCTAACCACAACACCACGGAGGCGGTCTACAATGTGTGAAGCCCATTTCTAGTGTCCCCGCGGTGATATTGCTGGAATATTGCTAAAAGTATCGTAAAACCCATCCTCGATAATCTCCAGGGTATACGTTCCGATAAATCTCCACTATATCGGAATGTATACCCTGGAGATTATCGAGGATGCGTAAAACCATATACAGTATATTCACTCACTCTTCCGACCTCGGATCAAAAGGTCCATGGTTCGAATCCCAGTGCGGGATTATAGGCGCTAGATACACACGGCTTCATTTATAACATTAGGTTTAGTGTATTTATCGGGCAAATAAATTCGAACGTTTCGTGAACAAGATTTTATTGGTAAGTCTTAAATGAAAAAAAACCCAACAACAGCAAAGAATTAAATAACAACCAAACCTTTTAAAAGTGAACTACTTACAAAAATGTTGTTTTTATATATTGTTATCAAACCAATAATATTTTAGTAATATATGTGGGGCGGTGGGGTAGCCTAATGGTTAAAGCGTTGGCTCGTCACGCCGAAGACCCGGGTTCGAATCCCCACATGGGTACAATGTGTGAAGCCCATTTTTGGTATCCCCGCCGTGATGTTGCTGGAATATTGCTTAAAGCGGCGTAAAACCAAACTCAGTTAGTTAGTTAGTTTAGTAATATATGTGGTATTTGTTGTTACTCTGCTGGCACTGACGAGCGCGCACACACCACCACGTGATACACGCGCATGGCCTTCGCTACATACGTGCACAAATATTGAGCGCGTCGAAGCCAATTTCACCTCACACCATTACAATACCAGCAGGAAATATGTCGCCGCAGATAAAATTGAAACAGCCTATAGTCTACCTGTAGGTCGGAAACCTCCGAGCTTTCCCGATATCCTACGACGTATAAGTTTGGTTGACTACTCCGTTGAACAAGCAGGAGTTGTAAATGTCGCCGAGCACTTGAGGGATCTATTCTGTCGCCCCGAGTTTAATCACGACGAGTGTTGCGGAGGTTGGAGACAGGCACCTGATTGATGTCAGTGGATTCCTTGGATGTAATTTACAAAGAGTGTTAATTGGCGGGACACGTTTACACCAAGATTACCTGTGTTGCGATGGGACGCGGTTGGAACGCTACCTTACCTTGGGCCCTCTGTAAAGGGGGCCGTCATTCCACGTGAAACTTGGATAGCTTTACTTTGATGACAGGTAGGAAATATCCGTTTGTGGTAAATGATACTGTTGAACCGTGTTCTCTTGTTTTGAAAGTGACACATCAACGTTTATTTTGAGATTTTTGATTGTTTTTAATGATCATATGATATACGAATGACATAAGTAGTACTAACAGTTGAAACGAATTTGAATGATCGTCTGCTGTCGACAGTGTTGTACCACCAACTTTCTACCTGTTGGAACATACACCTGGTTTAATATCCGGGTAGACCTGTATAGTTAACGTGTGCTGGGATTTGTTCCATTGGTATATTTGTAAAACAACGCTGTGACGCTCTCACATAATAAATCTCACATAACTTTGATGACTACTGCAGACGTCGCTTTGTCACGTGTCTTCTAACATTGTTCAACCTGTTGTAACGTTGTATATTGTCGGATCAGTAACTCACGTGATAAAGACGTAAATATGGCGATTGTGTGAATGATAATTACAAAGGGGTATTAGATAGAGCACAACATGAGCCCACATAGTTAAAACATGCACAGGAACTATTTGTTGAAAAGGAATAAAAAATATTTCCAACTCTTCTCAGGTGACGAATTACATGTCAGCTAACCAAGAATCCTGAAAAAAACACACACCAGTATCACCAATCTTACAGAGGAATTTGATGAATATGTTTTAAAATCCGAACATATCTATCCACTGTTATTCAAAATTATCAAAAGATTGTCATTTTCTTTCAGATAGTGTCAAATAAAAGCTAGGACTAGTGTTAAACCAATTTATGAATTGCAGGTATACAATGCAACCACCAGTTTGTAAGCTCACACAAAGCCAGAAAACAAATAAATCAGCGTCATTTGGGTGGCTGTTGTGTGATCGTTGGGGTTTATTGCCAGCAGTCTTTGTGCAATAGAACAATAACAAACAAAGCTGGTTTAGTTTCTCATAGCTGTGAGTACCACTGTTCTGTAATAGGTTTTGCTGGAGACATGCACATATTTCACATGGAACAAACTAATGATGAAATACATACTGTTGAAGACAAATCATTGAAAACTACACCGACTTACCTTTGGTAAGATTGTAATACATGCAGTTTCTGAGCCATTCCACAGCACAGAAAGATCTCTGTTGAAAACAGAATTTGTTAAAGTTTTATGTTTAGTATCCAACATGTCTAAAATATTTGCATGCTTTGTAAATATGTTGCCATAGATTTTGAAAATGGATTTCTTAAATACACACATCTTTTTATAAAAGCATGATTCATGTAGTCAAATATAGGTGTCTCAAAGTTTTTAAAACACAATCCAGGTGCCACTTACAAAGTTAAAACTATGTATAGCAGTAGTGGTGGTATGATTACTTGAAATAATCGAAGATTGGTCGCAGTGACAAAATGACCAAGCAATTGATCATGTTTTCTCATAATCAAACACAAACAATTTCGGAACACTTGTTTGCATCAACAATATTTTTAACAAGGTTGGTCTGTGTCATTAAATTTACATTTCATAAGCACTACAAGCTCGTTCCAAGTCATGATTGAATTTATCCTAAAGACTCCTGGAAATTTATGTTCGATACATACTAGTCATTTTTAAATATGTGCAATTTGCAAATGCTTTTTATGCAGTGTGCTAAAAAAATCACGTTTTTTCTATATTTTTGTGTGCATTAACAAACATAACAGGAAAATTTGATGAATGACGCTAACCAATTATTTCCGATGACTGATCGGTTCTAATGAACCATGGATTATGAACCATACCTAACCCTGGGTTACCATGGTTAACAAATAAAATCCTTTATTTCACCTATTCGTTATGAATTTAAAAGATTGTTAATCAATGGACAGTTATCAAAAATGACTGATTTAGGAAAAGATTCATACAGGACGTAGGAATTATGAATATTTAATTATGTGGATATGTTAAGTGGAATGACGTGAAGTATACAATATTAAATACACATAACACTGACTCGTGTAATTGTGCAAGCTGATGACAAGAATGCTGTTACTAGTGAAATAACATAGCTTTGTACGAGTTGTAACACACCAGGCCAGGTTCCCATTCCACAAAGCAATCTCAGCGCTACAACTGTCATAAGTCTGTGTGAAAGAATGGGAGTTACGACCGTTGTAGCCGTGAGATCGCTACCTGAGAACATTACTGCAATGTTAAGTGTTGCAATCATTGCCACAAGAAGCAGATCTGGTGGGAAAGGAGTTTGTCTACATATTTGTTTTTCGGCACTACATGTAAAGGACCGGTGGATTAAGTAAGTAACTGTTGACAGCGATTTGTCAACACCACGGGGAACACAGAAGCTCACAGTCTGATAGGTAAATACGCAGATATATACACTAGTGACAGGGAACCTTGATCAGGACAGTGTTGGGCACGTTCGACAGCTGGAATCTTCCTGGATGCAGACAGAGGGGACATATTTAAGATGCTCTTGTCATGCTTGTAGTGCTACTGTCCAACATCCTCATTTTACCTGTTGTAGGAGAAGACTGTATGCCACTCAAAAAATGTTAAGGACCGCTGATTCATGTTACTGTAGTTAATATAGCAGGCAGACCAACTGTGGTAAATTGGAAGATGGATGGCCCTTCACCATTTTAGGAGTATATGTACCATATTATACTGGGGTAACAGTTATCTCAGTTTGATGCATAGTCACACACATTTTTTATAGATGATGATAGATGATGATGATGATGATGATGATGATGGTAACAATGTGATGACAGAAGGAATTGCTGCTTTAAATTAAATTATCTGTTGTTTTTATTGAAGTGTGTATTCCAACAATTCTTAAGAACAAGATTTTGAAGGCATTAGAATGATCCATCATGTGATCATGAACACACATCACTTTGTGTTACAAAGGGGGTAGCCTAGTTTGTCTCACAGTCCCTGAACCAGATTAATTTCCCTACTGCCAAGCCCTCTCTGCAGTGCTAAAGCCCTAAATAAAGCAAGTCTAGATTTCATCAGGTTCAGGTTCTGAATCTCTGGTCTCCCTAGGGCTCCTTTTCAATATAAATGGGCTTGTTTGTTACTATCAAAATTATATATATTCAGAGACTAAGCCTTAGTCTAGGGGTAGCCTTGTGGCTAAAGTGTTTGCTCATCACACCGAAGACCCAGGTTCAACCCGATCCACATTAGTACAATGTGTGAAACCCAGTCCTGGCGTACCTTTCTGTGACATTGCTGGAATATTTCTAACATCAGTGTTAAACCCTGCTCACTTGCCGCAGTTACAAGAAGGTAATTGGATATAGCCTTACAGTATGAACGAGCGATGTTAATAGTTAAAACATAACTTTGATAAACATTGCTTAAAACAAAACGCAACTCTCTCTTAAAATGAAGCCTGTTTGTGACTTTGGTAAAAACAGTAGGATGTTTATGATCCTCGTCCCAAAGTCCTGAATTGTCTCTTGCAGAAGACTGAGGAGTGAGCATTGAAAAGCAAATATTTACCAACAACAGGAGTGGTAAACCTGTTTATTTTGTCATTTATATGTCTCTCTATGATCTAGGCTAAACAAAATGTAAGCCCCCATTTTGTCTGAAATGAACAGGTTGTGAACACACAGGTTTCTAAGTGCGCCCCAAATGTTGACTTTCAACATCTGCGCCAGATTCAAATAATTCAATTGAAAAGTGTCCCACAATGATGTAGACATTCATTATGAAAGACCTTCACATGTTCACCATAAAGGTTATCCTGTGACTGTAAGTCTTCTATTTTCAACACAACACTTGCGGGTGTCTGTCTCATGTACAAAGCTCCAGTCCCTTGATGACGAGGGACTTGGATGTGTTCAACCATATAATCAGCCATCCACACAGTAAACAATGACACCTTGTGGTTATTGTATGGTCTGCAAACCTTGTACAGTGTTTGTGCAGTCGTTTGTAGTGGAAGGATTGCCTCAGTGCCTTTCATTCAGACTGTCTATCCGCTTTCAGTAAACCACTGGTGTGGGGTAGGGCAGAGAATTGACCTTTTATGGTAAACACTGAAATGAGTGTTCGCTCAAAAACCACTTACCCATGGCAAGATAATTGTATGTAGATGTATCTCGACAGTTGATTATACACATGCTGGAATGGTTGTAATTGTCATTTACTAGATTATTAATAAATTCCAGGATCTGAAGTTAGGACTCGGTTAAGGTCACCTGACGCTATCTAGTCATTTGTTTGGACACAGGTCATCTTAGGTGCAGAATTTGCTGGATAGAGTTGTCTCCCTTAACCAAGCCAGGATGTGCTAGTCATGGTATGAATCCTACATTAAGGGAGGAGGGGGGTGGTGTGTGGAGTAACTAAATGGTTAAAGAGTCTACTCGTCATGCTGAAAACCTGGGTTCGATTCCCCACATGGGTACAATGTCTGAAGCCAATTTCTGGTGTCACCCACCATGATATTGCTGGAATATTGCTTTAAGTGGCAAAAAAACATACTCACTCACTCCAACATTAAGCTTACCAAAACAATATTTGGCTCTTCACAACCTGTGTCAGTCCATGTTCATATTCTTTAAAATTTGATAAAAAAAACTTCCCAATTATTTGATTGGTGAAAATACATTTCAAAACTTTGACAAACTTGTGCGAAGGTAAAAAGGATTGTCTTACTTACAGCATTATTGATTTAGAATATGACATTGACAGGAATATCCGCTATCTGCAAGAAAAAAATTATTATTTTAAATCTACACGAAAACAATATTTTTGTTAATGGACATACCCTTATCTGTTAAGTTGGAGCTTCATCAAAAAAAATCTTGTGGCCAAACAAACCAAATGCATAACAGGATATACTCTGGGATTTTGTATTCATCTATAATCAATCTTAATTCAGTAAAGACAGAGATAGCTTGAATATACATTACTCAGCTAATGATAATCAGAGATAATCAGGTGTATCAGTCTATCAAACATGCACTTGCCATAATATGAGCAAGAGCAATGAATATTCGAACAATGAAAACCTGCCCTACTTAGACCTGTCAGTTTGACAGAGTGTCCTGATATACCTGATCAAAAGGATTTACCCAATTTTCAATATGGTGGGTTGGTTCAGGGTAGGGCTTTCCTGACAACTGTTTAGATCCTGTATCTCCCTGGCTAGACTTAGTGGGGGCGGTCGGAGAAAATACCAAGTATTTATGACGTGGTGATATCAAGTATACAACTGTACTTTGTTCATTTTGGAATTGAAGCATGTGTTTGAGATATAGATACAGTTGAAGATTGAATTTGACCTGTTTGTATGTTTGTATGTGTGATTCAAATTTCAGTCCGCTGTTTGGCGAGAGGTAACAATAGGCAAAAACTGACATGTACAACACATAATTATAGTAACTGTTTACATGAACGATTGCAAAAGCTGTTAGTGTAACTTGCATGGACAAGATATGTATTACACTGTAAGATGTCATTGTGTCGTGTATGAGCCAACACTGTGAGTATTGATAGGAGTGTGAAACCGGGAAGATTTTACACAAGATTGATTCCAGACTGTGTTGCTCCACTGAACCATACTCTATCAGACAATGGTGTATACTGTTTGCCACCAGATTGTGCAGGGATTTATGTTATTGTAATAGTTTCTGATGTGTTTGTTTGTTGTTAATGCCGCACTCAGCAATACTCCAGTTATATGGCAGCGGTCTGTAAATAACTGAGTCTGGACCAGACAATCCAGTGATCAACAACATGGGCATCAATCTATGCAATTGGAATTTGATGACATGTCAGCAAGTCAGCAAGCTTGAACACCCGATCCTGTTAGTCACGTCTTACGACAGAACAATTCTAACCTGTGAAAAGAGAAAAATAATTTGAAGGTCCTAAATTTGGAAGTTTTGTATGGTTCTTCTCATCCTTTCATTTTCACGCTCATTCAGTGTAGTGTGGACTTATGTCAAACCAAGTCTTATGGTAAAGCTGATGAAACAGTTTTTCTATGCATATGGACTTTCCTGTGGTCATAAATTCAGTCATTCAGGTTTATTCATTAGTTTGCTTTCTCGTTACACCTATAAATGACAATTTTATTAAATTGATGCTTCTGTAATAAAAGGTGTTAGTACTAAAATAGTCCAGAAATGACTTCAACATTGAAAGCACAGGAAGTTGTTCTACTGCGTTGTATCACTAGGTCAGTGAACACTGGTGAATAGCTACGACCGTGGCCCACATGAGGGTGTTATGACTCGTATTCACACCCATGCCATATTACAAGTATTCTCTCCTGCTGTTCCTGCTCATTGTTCCCCGTGGGTGTCAAGTCTCATATTCCACTCTCATGCTGGGCCCGCTTGATTGTCAGAATATATTACTAGAGATCAGCTGGATAGAATCAATGTCGGCCTGAATATATATTGACGGCACACCAGTTATTGACAGATTTAAATGCAATAAAAATAACTCCCAAATTCCAAGATTTAATTTTGGAGATGTCCTTTGTGATAACTTTTACTTTGCCTTTTTTCATGGCTAATACTTCTCGTAAATGTAAAGGTATTCCTCAGTCTTGACCTACTTATGAATTATTTGATAAATCAATAGAAATGGTTATGAATGATGAATATTGTCGCTTTTCCAGTTTCAGTGAAGAGGTTTGAGTGAAGTGAGCATGTATGTGTACCCACTGATATGTTTCCCCTTGATTACACTTGATAGGAAGTGGCACTGCTTGTTTCTATACACATCCATACTGACATCTTTCACTCAGTCAAACATGCGACACAATACCTGTTCAGGTACCGATGACAGTTGTATAATGCCTTATTTCTCCTCGAGGTTTGTCGGGCAGGTCACATGACCATGCTCTTCTCCAAGCAGGGTGGATTGTTGACAAGTATAACTCAACAAATATTTAGCGGAGGAAGTCATGAAAAGAAATGTGAAACCAGACCACTGGTGTTTTTATAGTGTGCTGGCAATATCACTTCAGGTGTCGTCCATTGTGTGCACTTGCAAGATGTCGCCACCATGCACATGTTTCTGACGAGTAGATGCTTGGCTTAAAACAGGACAGCATGAAATGCTTATTTATATTCAAAACATCTGTGGACACCAACAGGCTCTAGAAATTAAAAAACTTGGTTTATCACCCCCATAAACATGATTTTTGTCTGTAGGGAAAATTATTTTGTTATTGCAAGGTTGACTGTGTCAAAAAGTTAAAAGTGTTAAAAGTTAGGCTTGCTGATCCTCTAGGTTTGCTGGAACACTGGAAATCTCAGTGTTCCTAATGCAGCCTTCAACATGTGCACACATAAGCTTGCCTGCTGGCCCGTGACTACTAACTTGTGCTGAGGACAAGTGAAAATCCAGTGATGACTTTTAGCGTTTGAGTTGTATTATTTTCAATAACTTTTCAATCATTTAATCATACTCCAAATTGGAACTGAAAGATTCTGTAAATAAGAAACCTTCAGTCTAGTTCAAGCAGAACTAACTACAGTCTCTGAGTACGATCGAGCGAACTAGGGTTTCTGCTAGTCCCCATGGATAGTATTAAGAACAAGAATTTCTGATGCTGCTAACAGAATAGTATGTTTATCTTCTGGTGAAGAATCAAGCATGAGGTAGGTCTACAGTGCCCCTTGCTTGTCTCCCTATGTCATTTAGGGTCAGAATAGGGCTACACCACATATTGCTTGTCTGCCTGTGGGATTCAGAAACACTTCCACCCGTATCACCCCTTAAATTTAATAATATTCCCTGAGTATATATATGTATACATCTTTTTCAAGGGTAGAATAGATCTAAGGCACCCCATCTCATCTCCCTTGTCATATTAAGTATATTTGTATCCAGTGGAGGTAAGTTTTCAGTTAGTTTCCCCATCCACCATGTTTGTTTCAAATTGAAGACATTCCTGTACTTTTCATTAAACTTGACATGAACTTTCAGTGAGTAAGATGCACTGCTGTATATTTAAGGATCTGACATTTCTAGATTTCTGTGACCTCCAAACAAACCCTGCTTTACACAAATAAACTGACATTTGGTTACAAGTACCTGCTGGGCCAGTCAATGTTATGCAACTTCAGAATCAATGTTTCATGTCCAAGTAATGAATTTGAGAAGGGACAATAATGAGAGTTATCTCCTGGCTGGCCCATGATAACAAAGTCATTAGCAAATGTTTACAATCCTAGCTCTGATTGCATTGTCTCAGGCGTGTCTTGCACGAACTATCAGTTAATTAACTGGCTTGACAGGGACAGGCCACGATTTGATGAAGGGATTCAATTATTGATGTCAACATCTGTTTTAAAAAATAGTCACATTCTGATTTTTTTGCCTAAAATAATGGAGGCGCCAACTGCTTACATTGTCTGTGTTTACAGAATAAACAAAGTAAACCAAGAAAATGGAATAAAGAAAAGTTCAATCATAAGCATATATGATGTTGTATATTTGTATTATTACATCACATCTTGGGGAGACAGATTTCATTAACTTGCCTGGTTGATGAGTCAGTGGTAGATTTTGCAGTTATTGAGTGAAAGTAAATTGAAATGTTATGCTTCATTGTAAATATGTTTTATAATTATGTCATATACTTACGATGTGTATGCGTGATTTTTGTATGAATGTTCTTTATACCAGCATGTTTATCAGGAAAAGAATTCAGACAAACATTTGACCTGGCCATTCTCAAACTAGTATTGTTTTTACATACTCTATAGCTTTTTCTCATAACATCTATTTTCTATGTTTGAAATGTACATGAAATGAAAGTATCATGTTGCACTGTCTATGGTAATACAAAGATAAACAATGATTAAGTAAAAAGTTATTCAACAAAGATGCCATCCCCAAACTATCCCGAAATTCCTTGTTTGATTAAACCCACAAAGGAATTTTCAAAGAAGCCATAAATAAGACTTTTACACAGTATTCACTGTAAACAACCTGGTTATTACAGACAAGAGGATGAGCCAAGGCCATTCCAAGTCCATTTACAACATTGTAATTGATAGTGCTATGTGATACGAAGCAATACCTTCCAGATAGCACAGTATCACTTAGCCAATTACATTTGACAGACAGATATGTACCACAGGATTAGCCAATCAAGAAGCAGCATGAAGGTGCTAAGACGATGTTTACAGCTTGTCAGATGATATATGGAGCTGGTAGAGTTGCTGATTATGTCTAGCTGGAGTAAAATATACGACAGTATTCAGATGTTGGGTGAACACAGATTAAACATGTTTAGCCATTAGTATTTCACAGGAGAAACATCTTAGGGGCGTCATTGATGATTTTATTGAGTTTGCAATCATATACATGTTACAGTAAGAGTTTGGGAAGAATGTTAAAGGCCAGTTCTTGAATATTTTGCTAATACTAGTGGCCACTTTTGTTCAGAATTATATTTTGTAAATCATGCAAACCTGTTTGTTAGGACAATCACATGGTACCTGTGAAGGTCTGGGTTAGAATATTGATCTTCAGTAACCCATGCTTGTCGTTTACTAGGCGACAAACAGGATCGGGTGGTCCGGCTCGCTGACTTGGTTGACACATGTCATCGGTTCCCAATTGTGCAGATCTATGCTCATGTTGTTGATCACTGGATTGTCTGGTCCAGACTCGATTATTTACAGACCACCGCCATATAGCTGGAATATTGCTGAGTGCGGCGTAAAACTAAACTCACTCACTCACAATCACAAGGAAAATAAATATATTTAAATGTTCCAATGTTTCCAA